TAACAATGAGTTGAATCCATATAGAATCCAAGACAACAAGGTGCCCACTCTAGTTTCCATGTCAAGCTTTCCCAAAACCTGCAATCTGACCCCACGACGAAGGATATATTTCCCTCCCCACCCTTTATCTGCCTTCCGGAGGACCGTTCTCTCCGTGACTCCCTTGTCCGCTCCACACTCCCCACTAGCCCCACCACCCCTGGCACTTTTTCCTGCAACCGCAGGAAGTGCTACACCTGCCCCTACATCTCCCCCCTCACCCCCATCCCAGGCCCCAAGAAGACCTTCCACATTAAACAGATGTTCACCTGCACATCCACTAATGTGGTCTATTGTGTCCGCTGTTCCCGTTGTGGCCTCCTCTACATCAGGGAGACCAAGCGGAGGCTCAGAGACCGCTTTGTAGAGCACCTACGCTCGGTTCGCGACAAACGACAACATCTCTCAGTCATGAACCACTTCAACTCCCCCTCCCACTCCCACTCCCTGGACAACATGTCCATCCTGGGCCTCCTCCAGTGCCACAACGATGCCACCCGAAAACCAGAGGAGCAGCACCTCATATTCCGCCTTGGAACCCTACAACCCAATTGTCTCAATGTCGACTTTACCAGCTTCAAAATCTCTCCACACCCGACCTCATCCCAAGACCAGCACCCCCCTCTCATCCCTGCCTCCTTGACCTGTCCATCTTCTCTTCCACCTATCTGCTCCTCCCACCTCATTGACCAACCCCCACCCCCACTTCCTACCTACACTTACCTCTACTAGCTTCATCCCCGCCTCCTTGATCTATCCATCTTCCCTCCCACCTATCCGCCCCTCCCTCCTCACTGACCAACCCCCATCCCAACTACTTACCTACACTCACCTTTACTAGCTTCTATCACCACCCACCCCTCTCTATTTATTTCAGAGCCCCATTCCCCTCCCCCATTTCTGAAGAAGGGTCCAGACCTGAAACGTCAACTTTCCTGCTCCTCTGATGCTGCCTGACCTGCTGTGTTCCTCCAGCTCCACACCTTGTTATTCTCAGACTCCAGCATCGGCAGTTCCTACTATCTCTTCCCAAAGGCTAGTTTGTTTGGCAAGTTTGGTAAGATCATAACACATGGTGAGTTGGACTAGTGATGAGGCATTTACCAATCAACAATGGTGTCAATTTTGAAATTGCCTCCTGGCAAGGATCTCACCACATCACTCAAGCAACATAAGGACAATCGGGTGAGAGGATCTCGACATTGAGAAGGATTCCAGCACTCAGCTCACCATAGCCCATATGTCTTAGAGCCTTGTAAGATTTTGCCCCTAGTTTCTTTTTCAAAAGTTAGTTTATTATGTGGACTATTATAAGTATATGAGGTTTTTTACGCTTATGCTCTGCCAGAGCTTCTCTAAAACCTCTCCAAGCAAGTTTCCCAAACCATACCATATTTACTTGTCATCACAAATAATTGTTCCTCAGATTCATATGTCAATCGTTTGTACAGCATGTTGAGATTCAAGTACCAACTGAGGAATCATGGAGCAAATTAACCTATATGCTCTCTTTTAGCATTGTGCATTAAATGAATATACTGTGCCACTGGCTTGCCATCTGTATCTTCTGTAACATTTCTCCTACATCCCCAGAACTGGGCAGTGATAGCTGTGCTGTTTCAGCAGGCAAAGGCAGCATCAGTACTGGAAGGGATCAACTAAGCAACATTACCTAATGTTAGAGAAACACTGATCAAAATCAATCTTTAAACACTTTAACGCCATAACAAAGTAAACTGCTATTTTATATTTGATACTTCACTTGCTCCAGGGGAATTTGGATATAATATACTAACATATAATATAATATACTAACATACTCAAGTTTCAACTTTTAATCAGATATCAGGACACCTGAGCATCTGCTCTCAACATTTAGTATTTAAAATGAGCACTAACAGAAATGATTTTATCAAGTTACTTAGTTCATCTTGATAACAATTCCATTTGCTTTCATTTAGGATAACACTGGCTTTGATGTGGAATTCAATACATACAGTAAACAAGCCTGGATTTTGCAGTCAGTGGCAAAGCAGAGGCATATGCCACTAACCACATGAAAAACTACTGCCCTGCACTGGTTGTAGGCTGCAGTGGGAACTTGCTCTCCTATCTACAGAGTGCATCCATTGGAGAGGTGACTGGGAAGGCTAAGTGGTGTCTTCATTCCTAGTGAAGCAATACCCCTCTGAAATCAAGACCTGAAATAACACTCCTTGAGGTCTGTTTCTAGCTCAATAACAGGTTTCAATAACAGACCATCTACAGTCTTTTGGTAAACACACCATCAACATACCCCAGCTCTTCTCCAATGTTAGCAGCACTGAGGAGCCAGGAGCCAGGGTAGAGAAGAGCTACCAGAGTTCACACTCCTAGCAGCCCCACACAAATCAACGTAAATGCTGGGGGATAAATACAGGGCAATCAAGTTTTCACACTGACAGTTTCTGGCAGCCCATTAGCCTGGGTTTCCCAGAGTTCATTCAGGCACATTGCAACTTTGGGATTCAAATGTAAGTGGGCTTCCTGGACGCTGTAGTGCTGTTGTAGCCTTCAGTAGCAGCAAACCTCTCAGTGTTCACAGCTATTAGGACCGTAAGATCGAGGCCCTTATTTTGATGTCCAGGTTGAGCTATAGCTTCACACTACAGGTAAAATATGAAAATGACAAAAACTAGTGATACAGCTTTGGATTAAAAGCGGGAATGTGATTTACACTTGTCACCTATACATTTGTGCTTCTTACCCACTTGAAAGAGCTTCAACTTTGAAAAGTATTCACTTGTCATATTGGAGAGCCTGTCTCAAGTTATGCTGTTGTCAACTAGTCTCCAGGAGGGGAGAGATACCCAGCACAAAGGACGCTTTTTGAATCACTCACTTCAGTTCCAGACACAAGCTTAATTGTCAGCAAGACTAATCTCACCACAGATATAATTCAGAGGCCCAGCCAGGCTAAGTGCTTGCTACAGGATGCCAGTGTTTTCAGGATCCGTTGTAACTTCTAAACGTTTTTTAAATTATCTCTGCACTTATTATTCT